CTAAAATTATCCAATTATACACAACTGTGTCATCATACAACACTGACACTAATTAAATGGTAGAGATAGGACCACTCTCCCCCTCCCAGCAATAATTGAATGAGAAATATTCAGGTCATAACAAATATGAATACAAATGCTTCTCAATATAGAAGGAGACACACATGTCTCTCCTCCGAAATCAAACTGTATACTAATGTTTAAATCACATTATAGTTATGCCATATATTAATCGAATGATGTAAAGGAATCAAGATCTTCATGATGAGTTCAAAACCCAATACTGGTGAAGATGATGATGACGATGATGTTGATTTTGATTTCTTCATTGAAGAAATCGGTACGAAAATAAATGAACGTGAGTTAATTTCCGACAATCGTTGTTTATGGGTGGTTTTTGCAACATAACCATTTTACTTACTTACTTGTAAATATTTTTTTTATATATGTCTTGTTCAATCTGGACTTATTTGTTGTTATATCTTAAAACAAAATATTTAATTGAGTCAGACTTTCACACTTTCAACGGGGTCATGAAATCCCAGCCTGATGACGAAATAATCCTAAAAACAAAAAAGAAATAATATGACTGTGACACGATGGTAGTTCATCATGTCTATCACAGGCCCAACCATGCGCGTCACACCCGCAAATGATTGAATCAATGCCAGGGCATGCAAACAGGCTTGGTTCGTCAATGAGATGAACACCATTTCATTTTTGTCTTTTCGAAACTTTTCTACTCCGTTTCCGCTGAAAGAAGACGAACCATACAAGTTCACGAGCACTCTAACTGTTAGTTTCCCTTTTGTGTGTGTACAACAAGTATGTGTTGTTGAAATGTTTCACATACTATAAAACTATACTATAAAACATCAACACATATGACTTATACGATGTATTTGCATACATATGCCCATTGTGACAAAGTCGTTTCTATTTCCACATATTAAGTGGTCGGACAAACAGATAAGAACATATCACTTACAATATTAGCACCATGCTTACATACGTGCTCTGGATTAAAATTTTGATTTAGCATAAATACATGATGGACAGTCATTTTGTCATATTGGCTGTCTGAAACATGCTTTGTTGTCGTTTTTAGGCGCAAATTACGCCGAAATCTCACCCAATAGCCTTATATATACATGATTGTGTACGACAAACAATTATCGTACGCATTCGGATTGCCGAATCGATGTACCACGCATAAGCGTCATTTGCACACTGAAATCGGGCGGCCATCTTCTCTTTTATTTACTCGGAGCCGCGGTAAAAAAAGTAACATATACGAATCTAAGCTATTTTTTTTGTAGGTGCATTCCGTGTCCTGAAACGAATTAGTGGCCGGAGAGTCTCAGAAAGAAATGTCGAAAATATGAATGATCCAGCGGAATTGATAAGAGCACTAGTCGATGCAGCAGTGATTACCAACTACAACCTGGGCTATCTAATACGGATGTTGAGAACTGCGGAGAACAACGAACTTGCCAATCGTGTAGAAGAGTATCAAAATCAAAACCAAAGTACGTGTAAACACTTTTGACAGTGTTGTTGATTTAGCCGCCCCATAATATGTCTTGCACATTTCATAGTATCCAGATTAGTCACACTTACACTTGGATTTTACAATAGTATACTATTAAGTATGTCATTGTAGCATAATAATCATTTTTGTCATATTGATTAGGAACAAGAACGGAGAAGAAGTCTATTGGTAAATAATATTTGTTTGTTTTTTTGTTTCGTCTTGTGTTGTACTGTTATAATTTGAGGCATACAATGGAAATGACATATATGTGTAGCATGCAATGACACGTGTAACTTTGTGTTCCAGACATCAAAGTTCCGATAAAATTGGAAGGGAAAGGGGATTCCCCAAAATATCACAGCCTTGTTAGGGCAGCCAATCGTATATTTGACGCAACAATGAGATCCATTGAACAGAGTGAAGCTCCGCATTCAATGAAGACGAAGTTAATGAGGGAAGCTTTCAATGAGCTTGATGTACGTCTGGAAGGTATCAAAATATCGTCTGTCATTCTCATTGCGCGATGCTGGAGTGCGACATCTTTTGATGTTTTCAAAGCTGGATTGACGAGCGGAAAGCTCAGTCGGTTGCTAACAGACATTTTGATAACAGATGAAATGAAAGCGTTGGTGAAAAATAGTGGAGTCACATTATGGATATCAACAGATGTAGACACTGCGCATCTGGAGATGGCTGAGAGATTTTTCAGAGGACAAATACAACCTTCCAAACATATCATCTCCATGATATTGGACAATATCAGCAAAATAGAGAATATTATAACTGATTTCGAAAGCCAAAAGGACGAAATTGTCGTCAGAAAAGATTATATACATAATGAGTGTGGTATGAAAGTAGCTCTGTGTGGGGAGGAAAAGAGTGACAAGATAAAGGAAAATCGTGTTACAATAGAACTGCAGCCACATAGTAAATCTCTCTCAACGCCCACGAAAAAGCTGTCAGATAATATCCAAAAGATAGAACTTATCATATCTGATTTAGTAAAGATTAAGAATCGAACTGCCATTAACCTAGAACATGCACGGAGTAAGTGTGACTTTCCAGATTCACAGAGAATATCGAAACTACAAGAATCACTCAAAATTGTAAAGGAACGTGAATCGGCGCTTGGTGTTTCTAACAATGCAAAAGATGTGACGATACACACGTTGCGGTCAGAAATAGGCTTACTGAAGAAAGATGTTAAATCACGAGATGAATGTGGCAAAGAGAAAGATGAAACAATAGATTTATTGCGGTTAAAAATAGGCTCACTGGAGAAGGATGTTAAATCACGAGATGAATGTGGCAAAGAGAGAGATGAAACAATAGATTTATTGCGGTCAAAAATAGGCTCACTGGAGAAGGATGTTAAATCACGAGATGAATGTGGCAAAGAGAAAGATGAAACAATAGATTTATTGCGGTCAAAAATAGGCTCACTGGAGAAGGATGTTAAATCACGAGATGAATGTGGCAAAGAGAAAGATGAAACAATAGATTTATTGCGGACAATAATAGGCTCACTGGAGAAGGATGTTAAATCACGAGATGAATGTGGCAAAGAGAAAGATGAAACAATGATTTATTGCGGTCAAAAATAGGCTCACTGGAGAAGGATGTTAAATCACGAGATGAATGTGGCAAAGAGAAAGACGCAAAAATAGATTCATTGTCGGCAGAACTACAAACTGCAACGACACAACGTGAGGTAAGATTTTTCATAGTTTATTATAACACTTATTATAACACCGTATGCATATATATAGTTTGCAACTTTATCATAGTGCTGAAAATACACACTAAAATTTGCAAAATATTACATCAGAAATTTGTAGCTACGTGTAGGTGTATGAAACATGAATCAACAACTGGTTATTAATAATTACTTTACAGCCCCCCCCCACTCAGGATCCATAGGGGGCCGCATGCGCGTTCCCATTTTCTCGGGAAAGAGGGTACTTTTTGACGATCTGTCTCGGGAACATTTTCCGGAGAAAATCGTAGAAAAGGGGGTATTTTTTGCTTGTTTTCCCGAGATTCTCAAAATAGGGGGTGTATTTCAAAACACTTCCCGAGATATACAAAAAAGGGGGGTTTAAAAGGAGTTCTAGACTGAAAAGTTCCCTAGATAGGGGGTGAAATTCATCGGAAAAGCCCGTGAAAGGGGGGGTTAAATTTTCTTCTTTTCCCTAGATAGGGGGGGGGTCAAAAAAATGAGGGAACAAGCATAGGCCCCCCTAAATATAGGGAGTGGGGGGCCGGGCTTTACAGAAGAATATCAATGTGAATGATTGATTCTGTATTTGTGACTGTTTAACACCTTAGTAACAACACTGTGAATTCTCATTAATATACTAATATAGTGAAACATAGTGCTCAAAAATCGAAATAAATTAAATTATTGTATTTATTTTTCAGTGGACGTTGAAAAGACAGAAAGTTTTGAAAGGTTAGTAGTCATAACATAGTCGACTGTTTATTTCTTCTGAAGGGAGATAGCTGGATTGATAGAGGTGAATTGATTTTATGCTAATTCAAGCAAAGTGTGCAGAAGTAATTCAATTCACCTTTTTTACTAGGTATTCGTATTAAATACATTCATACCATTGGGGGTGAGCCAGGGACAGCACCATGTATGTTCGAAGACGCAGCCGCAGTCACCTTTAACCCCAACCATGAGCTAGTCGTGAGTGACATAGAAAATCACCGTATACAGATCTTGAACATGGGTGGTTGTAGGGCTGAACTGAAGTTCGTTGGTGTCTGCCCACATGACGTAGCAGTGTCCACTGATGGATTATATTACATAACTGATCCCGATAACCACCGAATAATTGTATGCACGGATGGCAATGAGGTGATTAATACATTTCCGGTCAATGATGACATTGCACCAGTGGGTATTACATTGACCAATGATGAAAAACACGTGCTGGTAACTGATCAGCAAAGCCAATTCAACAGTGTGAAGAAATACACCGTAGATGGCGTATACGTATCACAATATCAACCAACAGGATATCGGAAACTCAATGAAACATATTACATAACCGTCAATAGCAAGAATCACGTGCTCGTGTCTGACACCACAAATGCTTGTATCCAAATATTGGACTCTGATTTACAGTATAGAGATTCAATTCCATGTATGTACACTTATAATAACACTTATCATCCAACAGGAATTAGTGTTGATGATATGGACAATATCTACGTAGGCGATTGGGACAATAACAGAATTGCTATCTACGATAGTCAGTTGGCATATATAGATAGCATTGACATTGACAATCCAAATGGTATTGCTGTTAAGAAAGACACGCACACAAAAATTATTGCAATCACATCTAGAGATACAGTCCAAATGTTGTATTGTGACAATATTTACATGTCCTGACCTGTATATAATGTAACCTAAATCCTAGGCCGAATGCACCCTCACATGTTGTAAATGCGGAAAACTTTATCCAGCGTCAATATATTTTATTTCTGTAGGGTATAGCGTATCAGATATGTCCGTTTCAGGGGGTATTGCTAGCAGAAAACCAACCTATATGCGTAGAAGAACAAGTTATTGTCATGCATGACACTATAGAAACTAATGGAATGAATACATTGTTTCTATCATCCTATATTCTATCATTCTAGTCGTTATGTGTATTTTGTTCTATTTTTTTTAATTATCTACGATCTCGTACTCCATTCATATCTATCTTTGAGAAAGAATACTTAGTCCGAAATTAACTACTAGTATTTCCTGTATATTAAGTTTGTAAGTTCTAGAAGCCTTCGCTCATTTTGAAAGAAAAACAAATGAGGTCATCCACCACTTTTAGATTGATGGGGTGTCAGCATCCTTTATTCTATAATGTTGTCATATTACCTCAAAACCTGCAAATAGAAATGTGCATGGAATCATGAGAAGAAACGGTGTGCATTAAAGGTAGTTGAAAGGTCATACTTGTTTTCAACTCTGGAAGGACAATTAGAATCTTCCAGGTGTGTTTGTGATTTACATAACAAAAGATGTTTACGATCTACCAAGACAGCTATTCTAATTGACATTCTAATTGGCTTATGTGGATATCCAGATGATGTACCTGAAATTTGCCTATAAATAGGCTAGGCTGAGGACAGTTGTGGTCCATCATTTCACTGAGTACCCTGTCTGTTATTGCTGCGATATTGTGAGACAAGTGATACACAACCATCATTCTGTGAGACTGGTATGAACTGCTTTGCAATATAATAACTTTTAATAATAATAATAATAACTTTATTTAATTAAGCGCAACAATTCCAACATATGAATATCAAAGGCGCTAATACAATAAACAATCAGTCAAATATTAAAAGCACATTTAATTAAGTGCGTTTTCAGTCTGGATTTAAAAATGTCTACTGAAGGACTAGAACGAACAGACAGAGGTAATTCATTAAAAAGTTTAGGACCTAAATTTTCAAAAGCACGGTCTTTGTATAACACCTTGGACTTTTTACTACATATCTGACGAGTTTTAATAAGAAACTTCGATTCAGATCTTAAACTACGACTCGGTACATAAAATTCGATTAATTCACATAGATAATTTGGGGCAAAACCATACAAAGATTTATACACTAGTAAAAGTAATTTGAAATTGATTTTTTGTACAACTGGTAACCAATGAAGTTTAATAAAAATGTCTGTAATGTGGTCATATTTTCGAGCACGAGTGACAAGGCGGGCTGCTGCATTTTGTACACGAATAAGAGGTTTTATCTTAGTTACAGGGAGACCAGACAATAATGAATTAC